TTGCGGGCTGAGTTTGGTGACGATGTCGAGCGCCCTCGCTGGGCGGAGTTGCTTAGGTCCGGCGTTGCTATCTTTGACCTAGACTGTGATGCTATTATCTCTGCCATGTATTCTTTGTCTTTTAGTGCTGAGGGTGACTGTTACCGGTGTGTGCCACCTGACCCAAGTATAGCGGCTGCTGCTCTAGGTGCTAGTGCGTCTGGTACTCCCCCTGGTACTGCGCCTGCTGAGGCCTTGCACACCTTCACATTGGACTCGGCGCCTTGCGCTGTTTCTTTCGTGACAGCACCACTCTCACTCCTCTCCCTGCACCTGTTCCGGTCAGACTGGCTGACCCCTCTGGGGGCCCGGTCGTTGCCAGTTCTTCCACTGTCCTCCCCTGTCCGGCGGTTCCGTCCGGCTCACTGTTAGGTCTTCACCTCCCCTCGTTCTCTACGAACTTGGTGAGTACTGCCGCCCTTCAGGATGCGATGGTCACTACCACCACTCCTGGGGGTCAGCGTGTGTCGATCTGCACGTGCACACGGACGGGGCGTCACCTGGCTACGTTCACTCGTCGGCCAGGGTCGAGTCTGTACACGCTGGCTACCGAGCCTCCTCAGGTCGCTGCGTCTGCTCAGGTGTCCGCGTCAGGTCAGGTAGCTGCCTCTTGCTCGTGTCACCTCCTGTCGCACCAGACTCTTCTGTGGCACCACCGCCTGGGTCACCCCTCCCTGCCACGCCTTTGTGGCATGCACTCCCGGTTTCTTGTCTCTGGTCTACCCAGGTCTCTGCCTCCCCTCCCGCCCTCGCCTGCCCCGCCCTGCCTTCCTTGCGTCGAGGGGTGGCAGCGCGCCGATCCTCACTCCTCCTCGTTTCCCCCGACGACTGCTCCCCTGCTGACTCTCCACATGGACGTGTGGGGCCCAGCCCACGTCAGTGGACAGGGCCGCGAGCGCTACTTTCTGCTGGTCGTTGACGACTACACGCGGTACACCACAGTCTTCCCCTTGCGCAGCAAGGGCGAGGTTGTTGATGTCTTGATCCCTTAGATCCGCACAGTCCGTCTCCAGCTCCGCGAGCGCTTCGGTACGGACCTTCCGGTCCTCCGTCTGCACTCTGACAGAGGTGGTGAGTTCTCCTCTGACCTCTTGCGAGACTTTTGTCATGGGGAGGGCATTCTCCAGTCGTTCACGCTTCCGGACTCTCCTCAGCAAAATGGGATTGCTGAGCGCCGCATTGGCTTAGTCATGGAGGTCGCTCGTACCTCCATGATCCATGCGGCCGCTCCCCATTTTCTGTGGCCGTTTGCGGTCCGATACACTGCGCATCAGCTCAACCTCTGGCCCCGTGTCTCCTTGCCGAAGACCTCGCCCACACTGCGTTGGACGGGGAAGGTTGGCGATGCGTCGGTGTTCCGGGTCAGGGGTTCTCGTGCCTTTGTTCACGATACGTCCGGGGACAAGCTCTCCGCCCGCGCCATTCCTTGCGTCTTCCTTGGCTTTGTCCCTGACGCGCCTGGTTGGCAGTTTTACCACCCCACCTCGCGCCGTGTCCTCCCGTCTCAGGACGTCACATTCGACGAGTCCGTTCCCTTCTACCGTCTCTTCCCCTACCGCTCTGCCCCTCCCCCACCCCCGCCGCTCTTCCTTGCTCCCGGTCCTCCTCCTGTAGTTCCCCTCCCGCCTCAGGGACCTGCTCCCTTGGGTGTGTCTCAGGTAGACCCTCTCCCTGATACTGCGCCTGTTCAGGCAGCTGTCGGCTCAGGTGCTGCTCCAGGTGCTGCGTCTAGGGGTGCTGCGTCTGGGGGTGTGGAGCCGGGGGGTGCGGGGTCTGAGGGTGCTGGGTCTGGGGGTGCTGAGTCTGAGGGTGCGGAGCCTGCGGGTGTTGAGCCTGAGGGTGCTGAGTCGGAGGGTGCGGAGACTGGGGGTGCTGCGCCTCGGGGTGCTGCTTCGTCTGGAGGTCCTGCTAGTGCCTCGCCGCGACTATCTTCGCAGCAGCTGCGTGAGTGGCTTGTTCGGCGCGCACACCGTCGAAGTGGAGCTCCTGGAGCTGGAGGCGCTGGAGACACTGGAGTTGGAGGTGCTACTGTTACTGCTGGAGCTGGCGGTACTGGAGGTACTGCGGCTACTGGTCATGGAGGTGCTCGTACCAGTGGTGCTAAAGCTGCCGCGACTGGTGGTGTTGGGTGCACTGGAGCTGAAGGAGCTGGGGTTGGAGGCCCTGGCGCGGGGAGGCGCTGGAGCTGCTGGAGCTGGAGTTGGAGGCACTGGGGCTGGAGGCGCTGGAGCTGCAGGAGCTGGAGCTGTTGACCCTGGCGCTGGAGGTGCTGGAGGCACTGTGCGGCCGCGACCGTACTTCGTCCCCCTGCTTCAGCAGGTTCTTGGTGTCCCATCTTCTACTGGTCTTCCTTCTCCCTTCCTGTTTCCACCGCCTGACCAGTCGCAGCCGCCGTTACAGCCAGCCTCCCCACTGCCTGCTCCCTCTCCTTACACTGAGCAGTCCGGCGGCCTTACAGAGCGTCGTGAGCCTGCGTCTTGTCCTGTCTCGCCTATTCGCACTGCTCGTCGCACTCCTGGTTCGTGTCCTCCTCCTGTCCCTGGCACGCACGCTATGGCGCTCCGTCCTTCCTCTGTTCCTCTGCGTGTTCCTCTGCCTGCTCTTCCTGAAGTCCCTGACCCTGCGTCAGACCGCGCTCGTGCTGCCAGTCCCACTGTCTCTCGTCTCCTCTCCACTGCTGTCACTGACCCTTCTTTTGAGGCTGCTGCTGCGTCTGCTCTCGTTGCTGAGCTGCTTGACTTTGCTGCTGTCTGCCGTCTCGACTACGCCACTGCTCTTGTTGCTGAGTCTGTGTCTGCCAGTCCTCCGTCCGTCGGGGGTGAGTGTGCTCTTAGCACGGACGTCCTTGAGGACAGGCAGGAGGACTTTGGGTGTCTTGCAGCTGCTGTACCTCGTTTCGCTTCTATGCTGCTTGCCCCTGAGGGAGACCCGGATGCTCCAGACATCCCGACCCCGCGCTCTTACGTAGAGGCGATTACGGGTCCTTACTCCTCTCAGTGGCAGGCAGCTATGGATGCCGAGATGGCATCCTGGAAGTCCACAGGCACCTACGTCGATGAAGTTCCCACGTCTCGGGCGAACATAGTCGATGGCATGTGGATTTTCATGGTGAAGCGGCCGCCGGGTTCTCCGCCTGTCTTCAAGGCGCGTTACGTTGCTCGAGGCTTCAGTCAACGACAGGGAGTTGACTACTTCCAGACCTTCTCCCCCACCTCGAAGATGACTACTCTTCGGGTGTTGCTGCACGTCGCTGCTCAGCGTGACTACGAGTTGCACTCCCTGGACTTCAGCACAGCTTTCGTGCAGGGCAGCCTGCACGAGGAGATCTGGCTGCGCCGACCACCTGGTTTCACTGAGACATTTCCTGCAGGTACCCAGCGGAGCCTCCGCCAGCCAATCTATGGTCTCCGCCAGGCGCCTCGCGAGTGGCACGACACACTGAGGACTACACTTGCGGCTCTTGAGTTTGCTCCTTCTACTGCGGACCCGTCGCTGTTTCTACGCACCGACACGTCGCTGCCGCCGTTCTACGTCCTCGTGTACGTCGACGATCTCGTCTTTACCACTGCTGAGACTGAGGCACTGACCCTTGTGAATCCGAGCTGCAGAAGAGACACAATTGCACTGACCTGGGTGAACTGCGCAGCTATCTTGGCTTGCAGTCACCCGGGACAGAGCACGGCGCACCATCACCCGGACTCAGTCACACATGGTGCACTAGGTCCTTCAGCGCTTCAGCTTCCAGTTCTCCTCGCCACAGCCCACTCCTCTATCTACCAGCCACTCGCTCTCAGCTCCACCTTCGGACGAGTCCGTAGAGCCGAGTGGTCCGTACCCAGAGCTTGTGGGCTGCCTCATGTATCTGATGACGTGCACACGACCTGACCTCGCGTACCCTCTCAGCCTTCTGGCTCGCTACGTGGCTCCCGGTAGGCACCGAAAGGTGCACTGGGATGCTGCGAAGAGGGTACTGCGTTACCTGTGCAGTACGTCGGGCATGGGGCTTGTGCTTGGAGGACGGGGTCCAGTTGTTCTCACTGGTCACGCAGACGCCTCCTGGGTTGACGACTCAGCTACGCAGCGGTCGTCACAGGGTTACACCTTCAGCCTTGGTTCCGGTTTTGTTTCTTGGCGGTCTACCCGCTCGTCTTCAGTTCTCAGCTCCAGTTGTGAGGCTGAGATCTACGCCGGGGCCATGGCTGCTTAGGAGCTACGCTGGCTCACCTACCTGCTGACCGACTTGGGAGAACAGCCTCGTTCGCCTCCAGTTCTGTACGTAGACAACAAGGCCATGATTGCCTTGTGTCAGGAGCACAGACTGGAGCACATAATGAAGCACATCGCTCTGCGATACTTCCTTGCTCGAGAGTTGCAGCAGCGTGGCCAGCTTCGTCTTGCGTACGTGGCCACTCGGGCCAACACTGCTGATGTCTTCACCAAGGCACTTCCGCCTGGTGATTATCAGCGCTTTACTACTGTGTTATGCCTTGTGCTTACTTTGCCTCACTTGCTTACTGCTTGACTCTGCTTGTACTGTGATCTTTATATATACCTGCATGCTTGCACGTGCAAGGGTATGATAACTGTATTGTTTGTTCTCTTTATGTAATTCTGCATGTGAACTGGCCTTGTGGCCCTTTGCTTGTGCTCGGACTGTGTGGTGACTTTGTGATCCACCCTGAGCTTGCTTTGTTTTTCTTGACTGTTCTTGTGACCACTTGTTCTCCCCCACTTTGCCTATGGGGGTGTGTCAGAACATTATAGCTTATACATTTGTGTAGGCTGTAGTGGGGTAGCCCATAAGGGGTACAACCCAATTAGGGTACTTGTACCCAACTGTTTGCTAGTTTATTCATTCTCGTTCGTTACTCTGACAAGTACCATCGCGTTCAGGGTGCTACGCAACTCACAAAGGCGGGACAAAGCAATGTACTGTGTCCCGAACCGTGTTCCCGCCGGCTTCAGCGGCTGCAGCACCTTCCCCTCCACCAACCCGGGGTCCTCAGGTAAGCACGCGTCCAATGATGGTTGCGCACGAACGAAATCATCTCCCCAGTCCAATCCACCACCCCTTTTGCCCACCCCATCATTCCCACGTCCTCCTGGAGGAGATCCATCACATGCGTGGCACGAGGGACCTGCTGAATGTGGGGCCACTTGGCAATCAGCTCCTGGACAGCCACGGCATAGTTCGATCCCCCATCCATACAAAACGTGACCACATTTTCTGGTCCTACCTCCTCCACCACCGGCTGTAGAATCCCCGCTACGTATCCCCCCGTCTTACGCTCCTTACCGCAGTCGATCGCCTCCTTGAAGACGGCACCAGAGTCTTTAATCAGAAGGACATTCGCTTGCGCCCTCCCACATTTGTCTGTCATCATGTCGGACGCAATTGTTACCCCCGTCTTCTTCCAGCTCGTTTTAATCCCCATCAGCCCCTGCTCAATCCCTTTGCGGACAGCGACTAGTCCAGCCCCGCCAATAAAGCTCCTCTTGGGGGGGACGTAGCCGGGGCCGGCGCGGTTGACGAGCAGCATGGCGTTGTCGAACAGCGGGTGGTTTATGGTGATCTCCGGGATTCTGCAGGCCGCAAACATCAGCGCAAGGCCCTCGTGAGCATCCCGCTTAGCCGCAGCAGCATCTCCCTCCAGGTAGTCGGCTATGCGCCGCTTCCCACCACCAGCATGGACCGCCGCAACTGCAGCAGATGTTGCTCGGCGCTTTTCCTCGTTCGCGGCAGCCAGCTTTTTGTATTTGGTGCGCACCTCCTTGCGTACGTCTTGCGGTGCCTCCTTGCAAAGCGTCACCTCGCGATGCTTCATTCCCTTCCACGAGCTCAGGTGCTGCGCGCAACGAATGGCTGCACCGGTGAAAACATTGAAGCAGTACTTACACTCGTACTGCTGTGCTTTGCCTTCAACCCGCTTAATGATGCTGAAATGTTTGAAGATAGCGTGGTTCATGTCGGGAAAGTACTCCCTACCCCCAGGTCGAACACTCCGGGAACTCTGCACTGTCTGAACGGATGGTGGTTTGCATGGCGGGCTAGACATAATGAACTAGACGGGAAACTGATGAATTGCGTAGTTGCGTGCAACCAACTAAATAGCACAACGAGAGAAGGGAACATTGAGACAAGTGGTTGGAGAGAGTAGATGGGTGGGGATTGAATGCGGTAACAAACAGAGCGCACAATATGTGAACGTGAAAATGCGACTTGTAAAATTGACACCACCAATCGCGACTATGTGGGTTGAACCCATGTCCATGATTGGACAAGTCACGTATGTGCAATTAGCCTTCGACAAAATGCACGCCGCAAAATTCCGCATCTTTCCGTATATTCGATTTTTTTTCCGCCCGGGCTGCCGCAAAACAAATTTGTCGAGCGTATAGCGGATTCGGTTGCGTATAGCATGTTGCGTGTATACACAAGCGGATATCCACTAAACGCAAGTAGGTCTGAGCGTTTTTGGCAACTTAATGCTCGACTACCTCGACCACATCCCTCGCCGCCAGGCCCTCGCCACTTGTACGCACTGCTGCCCCCCTTCTCACCGTCTCTACCCATGCTGGTCCCTTGGCTTTGCTGATCCAGTTCTTCTCGCTGCCGTCAATGCTTCCCTTGGCTTTAATTTGTCTTCTCCCCCTTGTCTTTCATTTCTCTGCTCCTCTTCTCTTTCACTTCTCTCCTGCCCTTGTCTCTCAATCCTCTGCTTCCCCACTCATATCCCTGCTCCCCTCGCCACTCAACCCCCTGCTCCCCTCTGTGCTCACCCCCCTGCTCCTTCCAGCACTCATTTCGTTGCTCCCTCAGCACTATCTCCCTGCTCCAAGTCCTGATTTTCTCGTTTTCCTACTCCCCTTCATCGCGTGCCTCTTCCCAGAGTGTGGGCGCATGACGGTGACGATCCGGTCGCAGTACCTGGGGCCGTACGACCTGCACAACGACATCTACAACATGACCTTCTACAACGGCTGCGCCTACAACATCACCAGCCCGCTACGCGTGTGGCAGTGCTTCAACTTTGGCAACGTGTGGGAAGGCATCTTCGACAACCCCGCGCCCAACCCACGCAGTACCAGCAAGGCGAAATCTTTGTGCAGACCTTGCCGGGGTACTGTGAGATGCGCATGAATCGCGGTGCTAGCGGCACCCTGCAGTGCAGATGCTCCTCAGGGAGACCGTGAACATTGTGTATGCGTACACGTGGGACTTCCGGCCCTGCGTACAGGAGCTGCGCTTCGGCAACGGCAACAGCTACTCCATGACCAACACCACCGAGTGCCATCTCGCCCAGGTCATCTAGACCTCCTCTATAGGATCACTCACTAGTGGCTCAAAGTCGTATTCGTTTCAGGGAGGGTGGCAGGCAATAATGCATGAATTGCATGCGAACATTGTGTATGATATTGTCACTGTTTTTAGAACTCCATGTGGATTTTTGCCTGGATTGAGCATCTCTGGATGACTGAGCATGCATCGATGGGAATACCAATGCTGTGCGTTGGTTCTACTTGTTAAACACATAATTATTGAATTGCAAAAATGTTTGTGAACCTAGCTAAGGTCTACTACTGCCTTGGCTATGTTTCTGTTCAAAAAAGTACAGAGCTAGGTCTATGTGAGTCATGCAGTGTTGTGTACTCGATCGTCGTCACTGTTCTGTTACACGTTCGACCAAACCGTCATGCGTTGACCGTTTGTTCACACATCAAGTGAATGCCTCACGACCGCTTGTTTCTGTTGACTGACGATCTTTTGTTACAGGCATCTCTGCCAGTCTCGTACAGATGATGAGTTGAACATCAGTGTGCATGCGACGCATAAGCCCCCAGCTGAAACTTTGCCACTCTGTTGGGGCAAAGTCGATACGAGGACGTGGGGAGGCAGAAAAGGAATCACCGCACGAACAAGTGAAGGGGGAGGAGGGGAGAGGGAAAGGGGGGTGGCGCAGCAGGCATGAGACAACCATAACACCTAAGGCTCGTGCGGTTTTATCCTCAAGCTGTTGCTCGTGCCCCGTTCAGGGAAGGGAGTTGGGCACATGAAGGGGCAAGGCAGGCAGACTGACACGAGACTGACCTGAGACTAACCTATGACTGACCTAAGACTACCCTGAGACTGATCTGAGAGTGACCTGAGACTAACCTATGACTGACCTAAGACTGACCTAAGACGAACCTGAGACTGACCTGAGACTAGCTTTCTACTAACCTGTTGGTGGCCGCAGGTTGCCAGTCAGCGCAACCACGCTATAGGGGAGAGGAAGGCCATGTGGAGGGATAGTGCGTTGGTAGTGAGTGCGCCCACGCCCTGGGGGCGGGCGTCCGTGGCAGCACACTTGGGAGTTGCTCTGGCGGTCTCTTCTTGTCACTGCTATGCTCCATCCACACCTCACACGCAATCTGCTGCTGCGAGGAGCAACCAGCACTAAAGACAACTATTCAAGAAGCTGATTCATTTGAGCTTGCTTGTATATGCAAGCTTGTAGGAAAAGGTACAGGAAATGTAAAGGGACTTGCCTGAAATTTGGTGTTGGGATCTGCAATGGAAGCCAGCTTCTATCACAAAACCAGCTGTGCGTGTCACATCTACGTTGCATGTCCCCTACAGTACCGTAGGTGGTTCTGGTGCGTGGGCGGGAGGAAGCTGCGGGTACGACGAGAGCAGGTCCCGTTGAAACAGACACTGCAAGAGCTGGGTGGGGAGGGGGGGGGGGTGGTTTGGGGGTTGTTCCAAACGATGGTATCTGTGGTTCCTTTGCAAATGAGTCTTCTCCACATCTTTTTTGTCACCCACCTGAGTCACCCAAATCAGTCACCCATCTGGTCACCAACCTGAGCCACCCACCTGAGCCACCCACCTGAGCCACCCACCTGAGCCACCCACTTGAGTCACTCACCTGAGTCTCCCACCTGAGTCAAACACCTGAATCACCCACCTGAGTCACACTCCTGAGCCATCCACTTGAGTCACCCACGTGAGCTTCCCACTTGAGCCTCCCACCTGAGCCACCCACCTGAGCCACCCACCTGAGCCACCCACCTGAGTCTCCCACCTGAGCCACCCTTGAATCACACACACACGTGAGTCACACACCTGACCCATCTTGTAACACAACATAAATAATTTACGGAATGGACGCTTCAAAGAACGATAGTGTGGATTTTCGATATCTCATGGCATGACAATAAGCATGGTGAGTGCCTCATGCCATGATGTAATCAGTGCCTTCACAAAATAAAAAAGAATGCTGAATATGAAGTATCAACCCATGATGAGTTTCATGCTGAATGACACGATCGAATGACAAACTGCATTCTACATGTCTCATGGCATGATGACTCGCATTCGGTACCGAAGCATGATACTTAGCATGCTGAATAGCCCCATCACATAATTCATGCCGCAAATTCCAAAATGCACATTTTGGAATGGATAGTCCAGAATGCATGACTGGGATGAGAATGCATCTCTCAGTGTGAATCTCTCAGAATGCATATTGCTAGAATTCCTATGTTCTAGCATGCTAACACTTGTGACTGTACACCAATTGTGGTGTACAGTTGGGTTGGGACTACACCCAACTTTGGGTGTAGTCTTGCATTTTGGGGTGCCAATCCAACCCAATTGTGGTGGAGCCCCCAAATGCAACCCTATGGGCCATAGGGTACCCCACTTCACAAAGTGAGGCCAATCCAACCCATTGGGCCATAGGTTAACCCCACTTCCCCAAGTGTGGTCAACCCAACCCAATGGGCCATAGGTTGGCCCACTCCCCCAATCCCACCTCCCTCCTTTCCCTTCCAACCTTCTCTTCCAAACCTATGTATGCGTCTTCCACTCTCCAATGAAGCTAATAATTCAGTTTACAATCTTCACATGGTATAGAGCCAACTTTTTCTAAGGCCTTCCCTTCCCCCTCCAGATTTTTTTTCTCCCAAGGGCCCACCATACACTTCCCTCATGCCGCGACATCACCGTCGCCGTTGTCCTCCCTTCCCACCACGATCTTTCCATCGCCGTCGTCCCCCCCCTCCCCCATCTCTGATTTCGCCGCCCGTGCATCTCCACCCGCGGATTCCACTGCCGCGACCGCTACATCGCCGCCCTCTGATCCCACCGCCGCGACCTTTTCGTCGCCGCCTGCCCTTCCAGCCACCGCGACCACGCCGTCGCCGCCTGGCACTTCCGCCGCCGCGACCTTCTCGTCGCCGCCTGCCCTTCCCGCCGCCGCGACCACGTCGTCGCCACCTGCTGTACCGGCCGCCGCGACTGCGCATTGTTGCCTGCCCGTCCCACCGCCGCGACCTCACGTCGCCGCCTGCACATCCCACCGCCGCGACTACGTCGTCGCCGCCTGTGGTACCCACCGCCGCGACTGCACATCGCCGCCTGCACATCCAACCGCCGCGAGTGCCCCGTTGTCGCCTGCACGTCCCGCCGCCGCGACTGCACCCCCGTCACCCGCAATTTCGGCCGCCGCGACTGCACCGTCGTCGCCTCCGATTCCCGCCGCCGCGACTGCGCGTTGCCGCCTACGCATCCCGCCACCGTGACTACCCCCCCTGCGAAGATTCACCCTACAACGGTAGTGAGCTAGACTACGGGGTTGGCACGAACTACTATGAGTGATCGTAGCTTTGCCTAGTTCCTTTTTCTTGCACAATCACGGGAGAAATTGGCAAGAGTTTCCACTAGAAAAGTTGGGATTACAGAATTGTTGAACAAGCAATGACAAGAATGACTACATCAGGCACCTAGCAACTCTACAATTAGCCTGGTCGACCGACAGCACAGCATGGTCGACCGCATGCCAGCGTTGCGTAGAGGAGCCGCGCCAGCACTGCAGAAAGGCGACCTGCCAACACAGCAGGTCGACAGTGTGCCAACGCTGCAGCAGAGCGTTGCCCCGTAGAAGACAGCAGTGCGCACGCTCGCAGATGCGCGCAGACGATTGGCCCGACTTGCACCGTTGTGCATCCGTCGGCTGTTGTCTACGCCTGACGAGCCACATCTGTCAAACTTATATGCTATAGTCTGTTAAGGCTGTAGTGGGGTAGTCCATATAGGGTACAACACTTCTAGGTTTCCTACTTGTACCCAACTGCTTTCTAGTTCAGTCATTTCATTCCTTCTCATTCTAACATGGTATTCTGAGCAGGTTCCCTAGTGGGAACGTTTTTGTTTTAGGGCCCACCACGATTTATCTTCCTACCCGAAGTGCGCCTCGCGCCTGTTTCACCTGCGCCGTCGCGCGCCCTGCCCTCGAGCCGCCCGTCGTGGCCTTGCCTTGCTGGCCCGTCGTGGCCCTTTCCTTAGAGGCCCCTCGTGGCCCTACCCTACTGCCGCCCGTCGCTAGCCCGTAGCTGGCCCGTTGCCGCCTGTCGGCGGCCCGTCGCCCGTCGCCGGCCACCCGTCGCCCGTTGCCGGCCGTGGCTGGCCCGTCGCTGGCCCATTGCCGCCCGTCGCCGGCCCGTTGCCGCCCTTTGCTGGTCCGTAGCTGGCCCATTGCCGCCCGTCGCCGGCCCGTTGCCGTCCTTTGCTGGCCCGTCGCTGGCCCATTGCCGCCCATTGCCGGCCCGTTGCCGCCCGTTGCCGGCCCGTCGCCGGCCCGTTGCCGCCCGTTACTGCCCGTTGCCGCCCGTCGCCGACCTGTCACCGGCCCGTTGCCGCCCGTAGCTGGCCCGTTGCCGCCCGTCGCCGGCCCGTCGCCCTTCGCCGGCCAGCCGTCGCCCGTCGCTGGACCGCCGCCCGTCGCCGACCCGCCGCCCGTCGCTGGACCGCCGCCTGTCGTCGACCTGCCGCCCGTCGCTGACCCGCCGCCCGTCGGCCTGGCCCTGCCTGCGCCGCCCGTAGCAGCCCTGCCCTGCTGCCGCCCCAGTAGCGGCCCTGCCTGCAACCGCCCCTGGTAAGCACTCGCGCCCCCCCTCCCCCTGCTGCACTGCGCCGCCAGGAGCCGAGCCGCGCCGCCCAGCCGAGCCGCGCCACTCAGCCGAGCCGCGCCGCCCCCCCCCCCTTCACCGAGCCGCACTGCCCTACCGAGCGGCACTGCTTTGCACTGCTACTACTGCTACTGCTGCTACTGCTGCTACTGCTGCTACTGCTGCTACTGCTACTACTGCTCCTACTGTTACTATGGCTAGTCCTACCGTTCTCACCTTTGATGCTGAGGGACGTGCAGTTGACTTTGACGTGTGGGTTGACGACCTACAGCTCTTTCTTCAGTGTGATTCTAGGGATGGGGTATCCCTTTTCGATCACACGTCCGGTGTTTCCACTGCTCCTGCTGCCACTGCTGACAGTACTGTTCGCTCTCAGAGGGACCACTCGTGACGCTGTTGCTCGTCTTGCTGTTCGTAGTCACCTGCCGCCTGCTGAGCGCGCACACTTTAGCCAGTACAAGACTGCTAGGTCTTTGTACGACGCTGTAGTTGCACGCTACTCCTCCCCTGCCACTGCTGCCCTCAGCCGCCTCATGCTGCCGTACCTTTTCCCTGACCTTGCTGCCTTTGCCACAGTCGCTGACCTAGTTGCTCACCTCCGCACTAGTGACGCCCGCTACCGCGCTGCCCTTCCCACTGAGTTCTGTGACAAGAACCCCCCCCCCCATGTACATCACCCTTTACTACCTAGTCACTTGCCTTCTTGACTCCCTCTCTTCAGTCAGGGACCACTTTCTCTCCCTTTGCCCCACCGAGCTGACTGTCGACCTGCTAGAGGAGCACCTTACTGCAGCAGAGAAGAGTATCTTAGCTGTAGGTGCTTCTCGCGGCGACCGTCGCACCCCTTTCTTTGAGGGGTGTTCCCCTGTCCCCCTTCTTCCCTCTGTTGCTTCTGCTGCTGCTGTCGACCTCGTTGGCACTGCGGAGGTCGGAGCTGCATCTGCCCCTACTGGGAGACGCCGCACCAGCAGGGGCAAGGGGAGCGAGGGTGGTGGCGGGGGTGGTGGGGGAAGCAGTGGAGGAGGTGGGGGAGGCGGAGGTAGTGGCGGCGGTGGAGGTGGTGGCGGCAGTGGCGGAGGTGGTGGAGGCAGCGGCGGCGGTGGTGGAGGCAGCGGCGGTGGTGGAGGTGGAGGTGGCGGTGGTGCTGGTCGAGGTGCACCCGCGCAGCGTGGAGGCTTTGGTGGCAGCCAGCGCCAGCAGCAGCTGCGCTCCTGTGAGACCCCGTCGGTCCAGCAGCTTCGTGAGTGGTACGCTGGGCGTGGGAGGTCTGGGGCTGCAGGTCCCTGCACTTACGTTCTTCGCTCCGGCACTCGTAGTGGGGAGGTGTGTGGGCTCCCACACACTACGCAGCGCTGCTTCGGTCGCTTGACTGACGCTTGGCGTGCCCAGTTTCCTGACGCCGTTGAGCTCCCTCGCTGGCATGATCTGCTTCTGCAGAATGTGCCTATCTTTGATCTAGACTTTGATGCTATCCTTGCTGCCATGTATGCTCTTGCTGATAGTGCTGAGGGTGACTGTTACCTGAGTGTCCCGCCCGACCCGGGCACTGCGGCTGCTGCTCTAGGTGCTAGTGCGTCTGCTGCTCCAGGTGCTGGTGCGTCTGCTGCTCCAGGTGCTGGTGCGTTTGCTCTCTCTGGTACTGCACCTACTGAGTCCTTACACACTTTTACACTTGATTCTGGTGCTTTGCGCTCTTTCTTTAGAGACAGCACCACGCTCACGCCGCTCAGTCGGCCTGTTGCGGTCTCCCTTGCTGACCCCTCCGGGGGCCCAGTCCTTGCACACTCCTCCACGGTTCTACCGTGTCTTGCGGCCCCGTCGGGCTTGCTGTCGAAACTCCACCTCCCCTCGTTCTCTACGAACTTGGTGAATGGAGCTGACCTCCAGGACGCGTGGGTTGACCAGTTCACCCCTGGAGGTCAGCGTGTGACCCACCCCCCCCCCCATGTACATCACCCTTTACTACCTAGTCAACCGCCTCCCTGACTCCCTCTCTTCAGTCAGGGACCACTTTCTCTCCCTTTGCCCCACCGAGCTGACTGTCGACCTGCTAGAGGAGTGCCTTGCTGCAGCTTAGAAGAGTATCTTAGCTGTAGGTGCTTCTCGCGGCGACCGTCGCACCCCTTTCTTTGAGGGGTGTTCCCCTGTCCCCCTTCTCCCCTCTGTTGCTTCTGCTGCTGCTGTCGACCTCGTTGGCACTGAGGAGGTCGGAGCTGCGTCTGCCCCTAGTGGGAGACGCCGCAACAGCAAGGGCAAGGGGAGCAAGGGTGGTGGAGGGGGCGGCGGGGGAGGCGGTGGAGGAGGTGGAGGAGGCGGAGAGGGTGGCGGTGGAGGTGGGGGTGGTACCGGGAGTGGGGGCTTCAGTGGCGGCGGTGGAGGCGGTGGAGGCGGCGGCGGAGGTGGTGGAGGCAGCGGCAGCGGTGGTGGAGGTGGCGGCGGCGGTGGTGCTGGTCGAGGTGCAGCCGCGCAGCGTGGAGGCTTTGGTGGTAGCCAGCGCCAGCAGCAGCCGCGCTCCCGTGAGACCCCGTCGGCCCAGCAGCTTCGTGAGTGGTACGGTGGGCGTGGGAGGTCTGGGGGTGCTGGTCCCTGTACGTACGTTCTTCGCACCGCCAGTTGTCGTGGGGAGGCGTGTGGGCTGCCACACACTACGCAGCGCTGCTTCGGTCGCTTGACTGACGCCTGGCGTGCCCAGTTTCTTGACGCTGTTGAGCTCCCTCGCTGGCATGATCTGCTTCTGCAGAATGTGCCTATCTTTGATCTTGATTTCGATGCTATCCTTGTTGCCATGTATGCTTTGTCTGATTGTGCTGAGAGTGACTATTACCTGAGTGTCCCCCCCGACCCGGGCATTGCGGCTGCTGCTCTAGGTGCTAGTGCGTCTGCTGCTCTAGGTACTAGTGAGTATGCTGCTCCAGGTGCTGGTGAGTCTGCTCTCTCTGGTACTGCACCTACTGAGGCCTCGCACACTTTAACACTTGACTCTGGTGCTTCGCGCTCTTTCTTTAGAGACAGCACCATACTCACGCCGCTCAGTCGGCCTGTCGCAGTCTCCCTTGCTGACCCCTCTGGGGGCCCAGTCCTTGCGCACTCTTCCACGGTTCTACCGTGTCTTGCGGCCCCGTCGGGCTTGCTGTCGGGACTCCACCTCCCCTCGTTCTCTACGAACTTGGTGAATGGAGCTGACCTCCAGGACGCGTGGGTTGACCAGTTCGCCCCTGGAGGTCAGCGTGTGACCCACTGCACTTGCTCTCGGACGGGCCGCCACCTGGCCACGTTCACCCGTAGGCCAGGGTCGAGTCTGTACACACTGACTACTACGCCTCCTCCGGTCTATGCGTCTGGTCAGGTAGCTGCGTCTAGTCAGGTGTTTGCTGCCGCGTCCAGGTCTAGTCCTGCGTCTGCCCCCTGCTCGTGTCGTCCTCTGTCTCCCGAGACTCTTCTTTGGCACCACCGCCTTGGTCACCCCTCCCTGCCTCGTCTTCGAGGTATGGCCTCCCGTACCCTTGTCTCGGGTCTACCCCAGTCCCTCCCTCCCCTTCCTCCGGGGCCTGCCCCTACCTGTGTTCCCTGTGTCGAGGGCCGGCAGCGCGCCGCTCCTCAC